GTTTTGATGTAGTTTCCTTATTCACCAAGGTTCCTGTACCTGACACCATTGCAATCATTGAAGACTTGGTTCATCAAGGACTAAACACTGAGGTACCCCCCCTGGTGAGACACTGTTTAACCAATACATACTTCACTTGGAATGGAACTTTCTACAAACAAACTGAGGGCACCCCAATGGGCTCCCCCCTTTCTCCAGTTATAGCTAACATTTTCATGGAGAAATTTGAGACTGACGCCATCCAGACTGCCACTCTGCGCCCAACCTTATGGAAGAGGTACGTGGATGACACTTTTGTCATCTGGCCACATGGCCGGCCTGCTCTAGACCAATTCTTCGACCACATCAATTCCATACACCCAGCCATCAGATTTACCATGGAAGTCGAAATAGATGGCAAGATACCTTTTTTGGATGTCCTAATTAAAAAGAGACCTGATGGTTCAATGAGCCACTCTGTCTACAGGAAAGCTACCCATACGGATGCTTATCTGAAACCGGATTCCCACCACCATCCATCACAGAAGAATTCTCTCATCAAGACTCTGTATCATAGAGCCCAATGCATATCCGACCAGGAACACATAAGCAGTGAACTCAAGCACGTACACCAAGCTCTTAGGGCTAATGGTTACTCCGACTATACAATCCGCAAAGCTATCACTCAAACCATGAAGAAGAACCCTCTTGAGGAGCCTTTCAAAACCATCACTTTACCCTACATTGCTGGGATCACAAAAAAGATCTCCAAAATCTTGAATAAACACAAGATCCAGGTCCGTTTCAACACATTACATAAAATCCGTGATCTGGTTCTGTCTGTAAAAGATGTGATTCCGGACATACAATACCCTGGTGTCTACAAACTAAGTTGCCTCTGTGGTAGTAGTTACATTGGAGAAACCAAACGCCATATCTCGGACCGCATTCGTGAACATAAAGCAGACCTTAAACACGGTAGGACCAACACCTCGGCCGTAGCAGATCATTGTTCTAATTCAGTAGGCTCACATGCCATTGACTTTTCCAAGACGGAGGTTCTTTGTAAGCCATCTGGCTTCCATGAGAGATTCGTTCATGAGGCTATCCACATATACAAACACAGAGACAATTTCAACCGAGAAGATGGATTCTATCTTAGCAATCATTGGAAAGATTTGATAAATCATTTCAGTTCTTGATTGATTGTTCACGCTTACAGTGGCTTTCAGACAGCATACATAAAAACAAATTTCGTCTCCCCCCTCCTCTTTTCAAAAAATAGATGGACTAGTCCTGGGCAAACTGCCAATCGTTGCGCGTGACGCAAACGTTATTTTTTTATATATATGTAAATAAATAAATATGCCGTTTTCAAAATAAATTTATGCAAACCGACACACCTGATGATGACCGTTTGAGTTATGGTCGAAACGTCGTGAGAATTTTTTATTGTTTTATATATATTTTGTTATTTTGTTGTTTCTCTTCAACGTGACTTTACCGAAAAAACTAAGAATATGAATTACTGCAGTCACGAAAGCTTTAAATCAAAATTCACGTTAATATTATTAATCCTTGATCGTTTCTGCGTGGATTAAATATCGGCCGTTCTATAGGATTTGGTGGGGGGGGGGGAGTGCGTCAATCGTACGTACGCAGGTGGTGGTGGTGGTGGGGGTGTAAAAAGTACGCGTGCCTCCAGGGAGGGGTCAAATTGTGACAGATTTTTGCGTACGGACTCAATGGATGGCCATCTAAGGGGACGTCCATAAATGACGTCACGCGATTTTGAACGATTTTTGACCCCCCACCCCCCTCGTCACACGGCGTCACAAGAAGTCAGACCCCCCCTCAAATATGACGTCACAAAGCTCTACCCCCCTCCCCCCCAAAATATAAAACATACTTCAAATCACTTTAAACCATTGTAGTGCGTATTTAATGTGGCGCTGCACTCTGATGTTGTAGGGAAAACATTTATCAAAACGTATATTTAAGTAGAACGTGCTATCTATATTTATTTAAAGTTGCGCATTTTGATGTGACGTCACATTTCTCAACCCTCCCCCCCTCGTCACACATCGTCACAAATGTCTGACCCCCCCCCCCAGGTGCGTGACGTCATTTATGCGCAACTTTAAATAAATATAGACAACACGTTCTACTTAATTAAATAGACTTTTTAATAAATGTTTTCTCCTACAACATCAGAGTGCAGCGGCACATTTAATACGCACTACAATGACAATAGTTTACAGCGATTTGAAGCATTTTTTGGGGGGGGGGGCAGAGCTTTGTGACGTCATATTTGAGGGGGGGTCTGACTTTTTGTGACGTCGTGTGACGAGGGGTGGGGGGGGGGGTCAAAAATCGTTCAAAATCGCGTGACGTCATTTATGGACGGCCCCTATCCACTGATGGATGTCGGCATGCCCGGGGCCACTCGAACGCCTCTCTGTTGAACTCTAAAAGACGGAACACACAGCCAGACGAATTAATGGTACAACACAATATCATCGCCATCATAATTGGTCAAGGTCAATCCACTGCTGGATGAAAGGCTCCCCGAGACAATCTAAGAGACCGCACGGCTCGCACTATTGACGGTACAACCAGCCATGATCTTTCAAGAAGAAAAAACTTCAGCAGTTTTTTTTCTTGCTGTGGCTGTCCCACCTAATGACGATTGCTTGTGTTGCGATGGAAACGTCATCATCTATTATTTTTCTACCTACGTGACTTTACCGAAAGAACCAAAGACTATGGATCCCCGCAGTCACGTGAGCTTCAAATCAAGATTCAGCCATGCTCTATCTCCTGCTGGATGAAAGCCTTTCCAAGTCTACCCACGCCTCTCTGTTATTGAGCTCGAAGATTATCATTAAAGGACATGATCTCTCCACTGCTGGATGAAGGCCTCTCCAAGCCACTCTCTGCCTCTCAATGCACAGACCAACTTAAGCTGAGAGCTTGTCCGCGTTGAGCGGTTAGATCTTGTCTGTAACACGGTGTCACGATCATTCGTAACGTTACACGAGCCGTTTCATAAAGTTTAGTTTAAAGTTGTTGTGTCGCTGAGGAACTTAACCCATAGAAAATTGATGGAATTATTTGGCGATGCTGTTGCTGCTGCGTGAATGGGTTCGTTTGTTCACAATCACAATTAACAACATAAACTTAACGCAATTCGTCATCACACTATGGCCTGACAAATGAAAACAAATATAATAGGCGACGGTTCTGGCAATAGCCTTTCTTCAGAGCACAAAAAAATAATTGTCGAGCTCAAAAATGTTATGTGCTATGAATAAGGGCCATTGCCCGAAACGTCAACTATCATGTGTTTTCTGTTAAGGCCGCTGAAGTCTTATAGACGAACGCGTTGAGGTATTTTTTGCTCCTGCTCTAATAAACTGGCAGAATTGTTGTTACCCAACACCTTTGTGTTAATTAATTGGCATCATTACCGCGTGTTAAATTAACTTTCCTCCGCAGAACAAGCAAAAACAAACAAACCCCACGTTGGAAAACGTTACAGAAAGCACTTGCGTGGGCATGCTATTTATTCCACGGCCTCGTGTTCGTCTCTCGCGTCGCCTGCAACCCACCGCCGCAATGAGCCCCCCCCCCCCCCCCCCATGGCTATTAAACATTCCTGACGAGTTTTCAACCCAACTTGTTGTCAATCAGTCGGTTTAGCCATTTGTTTTCCCTGCCGTGCCTGGCTGACCGCATCCGCTGCAGGCGATTGACATTTTGAGTTAATCAGTGACTGAAAACGGGTCACCCCCACCCCATAACACCCCCCCTCACCTTACCCCCCCCCACTACACCCCCCATCACCCTCCACTACCCCAGCCCCCTCCACCACGCGAACGCTTCGGTTTACTCATTCACCTTTTCATTCTTTCATTGAAAAACGCGCGTTCCAACATCGAACCTGCGTAGCAAAGTCGTGCCAACAGCAGGAACGCCGGGCAAACAAAAAGAGAAGCCACGCCGTGCGGGTGCGCAGTCAGTTTGCGGTGGAAGCATGGAATTGCCTCCGTGCTAACCTGTTTTATTTCGAGTAAGCACACCTGTCTCTAGGGAAAGGTCAACACGTCACCCATGCTTCACCACGACAGTCGGTTGGGAGTGAAAATTAAGCGTATCGCTGTTGCCCTTCAGCTTAAAACAGGATACGTGGGAAAAGTTTAGTGGGAAGTGCCAAACGCAGCGGAAAGGTGAGCAAGAAGCCTCTGCGGCATGGACACCGTGCGGGAAGGAAATGCGGAATGCGCTGGAAAAAAAGCCACACCGATGCACGACATGAAACCAGCCAGTGCCTTATTACACTCACACAAACCACGCGCACACTAATACGCAGCATTAAGCAATTGCCTTACCAACACGCAACAAAAACAAATGCCTCGCTAACGTCACGTTTGACGAGAGAAGACTACGCGAGGCGTGAACATGTGAGCACTTTGTGTATTGTTGTAACCGGGGGTGGGGAAGGTGTGCAACACACCAACAGGCTGAGAACCAACTAGTCTAAGTCTTCATAGTGAGTTCACGGTCTCAGCTCGGTCACCAATTACCGCACGTACAAACAAGCCGTTGTATTAGTCTGCACTAAATTTGGCTAAATTCTATCTCTTAAGAGAAATGGAAAACACATCGGAGCGATTGCCATGCATGCGACGAACGTGACTCAGTTGCAGAACGTGGGTGGGAAAGTGCTGCCCACTGTCCACTACCGGTAAGATAAGGTCACTTTAAAAAAATCTAAGATGTAGTTCTGCGATATCCAATTCGGTGGGCCGTTGGTTTGTGAGTGATCTCCAATGGATTTAGGTTGGGCTCTTGTGACATGACATCGATAGCACATGGACCCATCATATACAACACATCCGCCATGATCTATTACTCACACAAACCACGTGCCACAGTTTGCTGTGCAACAAACCACCTCAAAATCATCAACCAAATCCAGCCGAACACGCGACAACGCCCAGGACAATTGGAGGCGCTTGCATTTTTCAAAGCAGGCTTTATTGTCACAACTAATGCACAACACAGCAAATCCTTTATGTATAAGTATGTCAAATACTGATAAATATTTATACAGAAATACAAATTATCAAATACAAAGTCTGTACAAGTGGAACATTACCTCGAAGTGTGTACGACGAGAAGCGCACAGCCAGAGGCGAGACGCGCGCGCGAGGGCACACGCATGGCCGGTTCTGAGGCCACCGTGGCCCCAGGAACGGGGAAAAATAAAGCGAAGGTTCTTGCATCATCTACATAGATGCCCGAGTCGACAATCAGAAGCTTGGGTAGGGTGGATTTCAAGCTCCAGGACAGCAGTTCCCTCTTAACAACGACGCTTCCGACTTTTCTTTTGCCGCCGACGTGCCGATTATAATCGCTCGTGGACACGTGCGACTGCGTCCGGATCGGTACTCGCGGAAAGCTGGGCCGGAGATGGAACTGGGGGAGCAGCAGGGAAGCGGGGAGAGGAGGGGGGGGATGCATGAAAAATGATTGATGGGAGGCACGACAAATCTATCCCAGGAACATCGGTTAGCTCGATTTAGGGGGGGTCACGAGGGCAGCAGCATGCGTGTCAACATCACTGCTCCAACACCCAGGGTGAAACTGCTCCGTCCCATTAAAATGACCAGACACGCACGCTTGGGTCGGGGGTCAATGTTTGGAGACGGGTAAAGGTGCAGCCACGGAGCAGGATATTGGCGGAAGGGCCTCTGCTAACAGCTCTAAGAGAACTCCGCTGGGAGGGCACCGTTGGTCTAACTCTTCCACACCGGCCAGACGTTTGGGAAGAGGCGGGAGCACCCACACTTGATCTCAAGCACACGTGACCTTCCCATCGACTCAATGCAAATGTTTGGACGATGGTATACCGTCTCTCGGTGTAGTAAATCAATTTCAGTGCAATCCAATCCGGCAACTCATTACACACCAGGATACCATACGGGGGTAATTAACCTGTTCATCTGTTGCGTTTCCAATTTGAAGTAGGATAAATTACTCCGCTTACATATATCCAAATATACAGGCGACCCTGACGCCTGTATATTTGGAGTTCGCATGTTCTCCCTTTGGTCGCGTGGACATTTCTTCCGGGACCTCCGGTTTTTCCCTCCACATTTAGAATCAACACGCGTTTAAGAGTATTTGGCTGCTATAAATTTCCACATAAGCCACTTTGTTGAGCTATTATTTGTGGCCAGGTCGCTTCTGAAAAAGAGTAACATAATTCAGCGGGCATTGCCCGGTAAAATAAAAAAAGTTTCGTTTTAGTCTTAAACTTCAAATCAAGATAGTCTTACGTGAGTTAAAAATATAATTTCCTCATCACAAAATAAAATAAGACGTTATCAGTGCCTTGTCAAAACCACTGCTGGTTGAAGGCCTCCCCCACGTCATGCCAGTCAAGGGGGTTTTCCAACATACTTCACCACTCTATATAAGTGTGTAGCGGCGGGGGTGGGACAGGACCAATTCAAATGACTCGGCACCAACGTTGGACCCGTCCGAGAATCTAACCGAGGCGGCCAGCTTCACAGTGCACCAGCAGCGGTGCGCCACCATTCCTCCCACCTCTCGTTTACCCCGTCCACCGAAACTCGAAAACAAGGGGACGTGTAAATATGGTACACGCATGCCCTCGTCTTGAGAGGGATAGCTTCACGCAGGTGCGACCAAATATTCATCCATTCAACCAATTCTCCCAAAACCCTTCTGCGCTCGAAATACGACAGCACTCATTTTATTCATCAAAACAATAAATCCAAATTGGGAACCCATCGGTTGTTTCGCCGCTCCGACACTCGAGCTGCGATTCGTCGTAGTGCACAAAGGGGAAGATTCGGTACCCAGCAACACTCGCTGAAGACCCTCGCTGCTCTTGGCTACAAAATGACTTTTACCCAGGATGAATGACAAAGCGATGGGCAGCACAGGCGGCCAAATGAAGAGAAACGGTTCAAATGAACAAAGGGAAAGACAAAAAAAGAACGCCAGAGGCTTCGGCGTCGTTACAAAGTGCTTAAGATCCGGTAGGATGCATTAAATGGGATAACCCTGAAAAAAAACAAGTGGAACAAGGCGGGAAAAAATGTAATGATAGCATAAAAAATATATTTACAGGGGTTTTTTTTTGTAATTTTAAATGTAAGGCAACGCACTCACGCTAATATGTAAAAACTATGTGCATGACCACTGAATACAAAAAAACAACATCAACAGGAACATTAGGAAATGCAACCCAAGGCTCAAATTAATACGATTCTCTTTCCTCAGGGGGTGTTTTACTTAACTAATTGTAGCCCGAGAATCTGCAAACGTGCAGTGGTGGCGGCCAAGTCGTTCTCAAACACTTCCCGCGACGCACGAGCTAAATTAACGCGTCCGCGCAGCGGCTACCGGCAACGCGTCACGTAAATCGGAAATCACATCCTCCCGAACGTCCACGATAAAACCACAAACCGATTTTGGCTTCGAGACACCGCCACACACACACACACACGGATTCCTAAACGAAGCTTTGACAAACTAGCCAAAAAAACAACTGCTCCCTATTGTTCGGACAAAATTCCACGTCCAGGGGGTCGCGACGCGATGTTGGTTGGTTGGTTGCGTGCCAATTTGAGGGCACGTCCGTCGTGTTTCGTATTCTGCCGAGGGGGTTTAATTTGTGCAAAACAAAAGAATGACCACTAACTTTTCTATCAAAGATAAAGTATAGAGGGGGGGGGGGTGCAAATAATAGTTTTAATAATTTAAAAAAAACCCAAACATAACCCTAACCCCTAAAATAGAGAGGACAGGGGTGTTGGGTAACACACAGACGTAGGCACGCGCAGTGCGAGATGCCAGCTCCCTTTGCCACTAACGCGCGTGTGCACTAACGCCGTGCCATAACGTGGGGCAACGGGGAGGAGGGGGTTGGGGAGGTGCTCATCCAGCAGTGGATTGATCATGGCTGGAGACAGTTATATGTATTTAAACTGCATGTAGTTGCGAGAGCTAGGGCTGCCACCTCTGAGAATGCAAAAAAACTTACCGGCCAGTATCATGGAAAGATGAATACCTCACAATACCGGAGGAGGAAGAACTACTGAACTTGTAAATTCATTGCCTTGAGTTGTGTAACATTATTATTATGCAACTAGCAACGACCAGGACTATTATTAATATCCTGGGAAGGACTGTCAGATTTCCCCGGATGGTGAACTAAAAAAAAATAAAGATAAAGAGATGGTCCTGGGAAAAGCAGGACAGGTGGCAACCCAAGCGATTAACGCGTTGGGAGGGGGCAGGAGAGGTCGATAAGAGACTCGAGATAGGGGCCTGGCCGACGTCACAAGATGCAAGCCAGTTCGAGAAAAGAAAAAAACGACGACACGAAGGTTAACATAATCATCATAATAAATTTGTATTAAGTTACGAGCGGGGAATTGGTTGACTGGCAGGAGCCAATGTGGCCGCTGCTGTCAAAATAAAAAAAAATAACAAAAGCAAAGCGCTTTTCACCCTGAACTAAATCGGTTTTTGCGCCAAATCAAGTTTAAATCGTGTTGGACTGGCGACAGATTTTTCTTTTGTCCCCGCGTGGTCAGTCGTAGATCTCACTTCAACGATTCAAGAACCTCCCCCCCCCCCCGCCTTTGCAACGAACTACACCGGAGCGCTCATGATAAATGTTTGAGAGACTCTTCTCTCAACACCTTCCTCGCCATGTTTACCTTACGCAGATTTTGAAAAGAAAAGTATAGCGAGTTTTTTTAGGATTTTTATCGCAAAGAGCTACGGTGCGTGAAAAGCCAGCAGTTGTACTTTGCATCACGCTCGCTCTCTCTGTGATGCGTATTGCTTGGCTAAAAGCAGGTGTTCGGCAAAGTGTGCCTTGGAGAAGGATATGCCAAAATTCCCAAAAAAAATCCACGTTACAAATGCAAAGGGCAACCAAATTTCACTATCAATCAGGCACGATTATTTTATTTTCAGCCTCCGAGGTCAGAGAAAAAAAATAACTCGCATCAAAAGACCAAAGTGTTCTTTCCTGTTTCTCTGCCGATAAAGTCAGACCACCCGCGGATTTTTAAGCCATCACAACCAGAAAGCCCATCAAAGCCTTCAACCCGACAACCTTGCAGTGACCTCTAACCCAGAGCCACAAATGCCACTGACACGGTCTAAAAACTGTACCGGTTTTCGCTACCAATCGTGTGTGTTTTTTGTGAGTTGTTGGACAGCTCTCCGATGCGTCGCCGGGTTGTTACCGCGCGCCGTTCCGCACGCCGTCCCACGTTTTGTGCTCGGGAGTTTCTTCGGCCCGCCGAGACATGGCAAGAGATATCGCGATGGCTTGGCTCTTTGTCCTGCGGTGGGTAGATCATGAAGATGAACAGGTTCCTGAAGATCCCAGCAAGTGGCGGCGAAACGTCGGACGTCGTGGCGAACAGCGGCACGCGTGGTACAAAACCCCAAAACGCGTCGGGGAGCGGCGCAGCACGACCACGAAAACCTACCACGGCCGTGTCATTTGTCGTCGTGTTACTTTAGTGCACGATAGCACCGCACGCTGTGATCGTAGCGCTCCCCACGGGCGTCACACACTGGGGGAGGGGGTGGTGGCGAGGGGGCTACCAAGGAGAAGACGGAACAACGTGGGAACACACGGGGGGGAGGGGTCGCATCGTAGCGCGTCATCGCGTCGCGTGCCAACGGCGCCGCCTGGAACAAGGGGCCGCTCTCCCGCCAGCCAGTGCAGCCGTTCCCCCGCTCCGTCGTTGCGTGGCCTCGCGCCGCCACAACTCGCCATCTCGTCGAGCGGTCTTCGTGCGGCGTGACGCAAGCTCTTGCTCGATTTTGTTTCGGGAGAAAAAGGTCCGTTTAGGGCGTAAGCGTTTTGAAAAAAAAAAAACTAAAAGGAAAGAAAATAACGATCGGTTAATAAAACAAAAATAAATATCACGGAATTATAAAAATAAAAAAATTTTCTGAAGAAGCAAATCCCTGTCGTCTTCCTCCTCCTCCTCTCCTCCTCCTCCTCCTCTCCTCCTGCCCCCGCTCCATCATTTGTCCCGACCGCCGCGGCTCCACCGATGGCTGCGTCTCACTCTTCCCAGCCGTTGTCCTTGATCATGTGCGCCACCTCGATGATGTACTTGCCCTCCTTGTACTTCTGGCTGCTCTCAAACGCGTGCTCCTGTCAGAACAAGAGGGACGGCGGGGGGACGGGGGTTTGCAGGGCGTCATTTTTTGCGTTCGCGTTGAGCCCGCAAGCGGCTTTAACGATCCGTACCGCGGAAGAAATTGTCAAACTTCGATTCGAGAAATAAGTTTTGTCGGTTTATTTACGCCGCAATAAACGTTAAGTGGCCTCCAATGGCTGGAGGGGATCACGTGCATCAATTACATAACAACGTGTCTTACATTTAACTGCTCTCCGGTCAATCCACTGCTTTGAGAGGAGGGCCTCTTTATAGCCGTCACCATTACTCAGTATTGTGATACAAAAATCCATTCAGCGCCCATCAACCAACCCCGGCATTAGCCTACAAATCGATGCATCGCCCAATCCTTAATCGTTAGTACTCTTTGTTGCCTGCTACCCAGCGTTACAGGCCTTTGGGCCTGTACCTTCAGCCACTCCACAACTGGATGAAGGCCTTCCAATGCCCATAGTGATTATGGGAGTTATTTCGACCATACTTCACCACGCTGGTCAGTGCAGGTTGGTGAAGGGGGTGGGGGCCCGGACCGGTTCAAAAATTACTCGTCACTGTGGCTGGATATCGACCTCGGGTTGTCTGGTTCACAGCAGAGTCTGATAACCACTGTACCACTGCTCAACACAGACCAATCGCGAACATTACATTCTATCACACACGACTCAAACACGTTATCGTAAGCTAAAAAAAAATTACGTTAATTTCCGAATTGTTGCATTCTTACACCCACATTTATTCACAGAAAAACGCAATAACGTAGTGGCTAGTCACTAATGGTGACCCATGTACATGTTGGTTGCCAGCAATCCCTTTTAATTATTTGCTATTTTTATGGAGTAGTTTTTTGTCTGTGTGACGTTTGGCTTGCCCTCCACCCTCTTACGCATTTGTGTGTTTTCCCTGGGCATCCCAAATTCTGCCAACAGTCATAAACGATGCGCTTCAAACATTCAATTGAGCCAGATCTCTCAAAGAAAGACTCCTTAATTTCAGCATCCCAGGCCTCTCAGCAAACCTCCGAGCAACCGCCTCTGTTGCCCTTTGCTGTCTGGAAACCACTCCTCCCTCCTCCTTCCCTCGGTGGATGCCTGCAGTGCCAACAACTCCATTAACCTTTTAAGTCCCGGCCCATGCCCCTTCCTCCGCTCACAATACAAATACAATGCGATTTGGAATTCACGTAGCGTCCAAATGCCACCGCGTCCCAAGGCTCAGTGCAGACACGGTGGACGCATTTATTTTAGACGGAGGTGGTCAGTCATAGGCAGAGATAAAATATAGGAAGTTCTTGAGATTGGACTTGAGCTTGGGGCCAGAGTGTCAAGAGCACTGATGGCTGGGGGAAAGGGGGTAGTTTCAGACTATGGGGTGGGAGGCAGAGCAAGAGAATGAGCAACCCCAAACTGGATCCGAAGGTTGTCTGGGGACTTCAATAAGGAAGGCGGGCGAGCACTCACGTATTTCCAGCCCAGCGTGGTGTTGCAGTTCTCGCAGTAGATGTCGGCGACGGCGTGCAGGCCGGTGAGCAGCAGTCGCTCCTCCGCCGGACCGCAGCCCACGTTCACCCTGCACAACCGCACACACACACACATCACAGATCGCACGGATCACCCACGCGGCCCTTTACGCACGGTTGTTAGCGATGAGCTAAGCGCACGAAACACAATGACAGCCGCCCTTCGCCGCTAATAGATGGTGACCTCGGTACTGCGATTGTACCAGGCTAGGTGCACTTTGGGGCACGCGTGAAACATTGAAGGGCTCGCTGGCAGGAAGTCACGTGACAAGCAGACAACAACAACTACGTGCATTAATAGTTGTCCAAGCGCAGTGGGAGGTTGCTAATTCTCTGTTGCTCGCCCCTATCGTCTGGATCTCTTCTCCCAGCCATCTGTGCTGTCGACTCCCTGCACCGGTTCAAGTCCAAGCTCAAGCCCTTTACTTTCTTCCCTTTGCCTATGGCTGTCTCGGATGCAATGAGAGAATCATGCCTATTGCATCTGAACAATGTGTGATCCCCAAATCACTCTTAAGGACCCACGTAACACAAGCATTCCTGGCACGTAAACGAGACGTCTGTTATGTCTGTGTCACGTGGACTAAAACCGCAACATCTATCATCGTTCGCAAAATCACCTTTAATTTAATAACAGCCGCACGCACCCCTTGCAAGATAAACAAGTGATACCAAACTGGCACTTCATTTAACTTTTAATTTTGTGGAAACACTGGAGCACTGAACTCTGACCCCCGGCGCTCTCGACTGTAGGAGGGGCTGGCGGTGTTTGTTTACAAAAGCTATAAGAGGCTCGGCACGGAGCCGTCAGTCACTCTCGCTTTGCCAAAACAAATCTGCCACACCGCTGGTCACGTGTCAGATCGACGGACGGCAATACACACGACATGAGCAGATTATGTCCGAATCTACACGGCTCACACCCACCTTCCTCTCTCCACAACGTCCTGTTCTACATTATAGGTTTGTTTTGTTTTCGGTTTACGTACAAATGTGTAATTTTCCCAAAATGATATCTCAAATCAGAGGCACGCCTTGAGGCAGAGAACTAGAACCCTCGCAGAACAGTGCCACCCCTTTGTGTCAGGACTGAGTTGGCCTGCGGAAGCAGATATCACAAAACTACCTCCGAGATCCCTTCTTCAAGGTGACATCTTATCCACCACCGGGGACAATGAGCAGATTTGTGTTTTGTATCAAACACGCGAAAGCAAATACACAAAACAAATCAGCAACATCGACAACACAGAATGCCTACACCACAAGACAAATATCTCCCGTATAGCCTGAACAGACGTTTGGAGAAAGTGCTGTTAGCGAGTAGCACCGATGAAGGCCGGCAAAGCACAGGAGGTGGTGGGTGTCTCAAGTGGCAATGTTGACACATCGCACAAGGTACTCATTTGAGGCCAGTCGACAACACACATAGGCGCGCGCAGGCACTCACACAGGATACCCCGGCACTTTGCACCAGTGCTCACAGGTTTAATGATTAAAGTTTTCGGCGGCTGAGCAGCTAGCTTACTCAAGAGCAAGAGTCAGAGTAAACGGAAGGAGGTCAGACAAACAGACTCTGACCAGACCAATGCAGGGGGTGGGGGGGGGGCCCCAAGGCATTATTGCGAAAGCCTAGCTCGTGCACCTTGCCCGGGGTTAATGTTTACAGCGGTGATAAAACCAACAAAAACCTCCACCAGAATTCAAGTTTATGGTCAAACGGGTGGGAGGGGAGAGGCTCGGGGAGCGGGTGGGCCAACCGGTTTTAAAACAAAACAAAAACATTGCTAAAGACGCTTTGTTTTGTTGGGAGGCACTGACATTGCGCTGTGGGGGGGGGTTTGGGCAATCACGTGGGCGATAACATCAATTTGACAGGTATCAACGCCAAGCGTGTAAAGCTTGGGCAAAAAGAACGGCGGGAGGTTGTGTACAGCATTACTTTTTTCTGCTTTGAACGGGGCTGCCGTGGTTTATACGGAGTGCTCTTGCCAACGGCATCTGGTAATTCAGTGGCATTTGTTTAACGAGCCCTCATTCTGCTGATGAGGCCCAGAAGATTGAAAACCGGTCTCGAGGTTTGCTTGCTTGAGGTAATGCTGCTTGATTATGTTTGTCTGGAAAGCCGGTAAGCTGATGGAAGTTAACTTTAGCTTATATGTGTGGACGGAGAATGGAGTTCTGATGAGATTTGTTTTTACCCATAATGCTGCCGGGCAGGGGTCAGAAACCAAAATTAACAAGAGCCATTTTTTAATATTCGGTAAAAAAGCAAATATTAAAAAAACCGCAGTACAATTTTAATACGAGACGGTGGGTCCTTAATAAATAAAACATCATGAAGCAGTCCTTAATGAGCCGCATGCGAATCCGGAGCTGCAGGTTGCAAACCCCTGCCCCAGGGTGACATAAGATGAGTTTGTGAATGGTTATCGCGAGATGAGTGTGGTTCGGGTGGAACACCATTAAACTTGCCGTGGCCTGTAAACATTAAATAGCTGTTGTCTGTACACACTGAAGAGTTCTGTCCATATGTGCATTGTGATCATTGTGATTACCGTCTACAACCAAAGCACTGGAAATGCATCCGACTTCACTGAGCCTTATACTACCATCAGGATTTGGCCAGGTAAGTACTTGGATGGGTCCACCGCTACTAGGGCTTGCCAGGCGAATGTAGATGTGGAGGCGGCACGGTGTGGCCAGGAGATGGCAGTGCCGAGTGTCACCCAGTCTTATTTACACGTGGTGTTGTGTTTTCTCCAGGTTCTCCCGTTTCCTCCAACAAGTCAAACTCTCAACTAATGGCATTTATGGAAAAAAAATCATCCCAATTGCAGCAGGACCTTCGTGAAAAGTGCAGTGTCTTAATCAATTGATTGCCTTTACTCTGGCAGGTGACAACCTAATGAGACAACGAGCCTCTTTTGCATGGGACACCAGGGCCAGACAAACACAGGGGAGAGGATGGAGAGGGCTCCAATCGGGAGTCCCATGGGGAACGTTAACGCAAGTTCATCCCCGTGTCCTCGCAAAGCTTTTTTCCAATCCATGCGACCTTCCACAACAATCGTTTTGCCTTGGGACTATTTTTGTCTCCGCCCAAAAAAACTGTCAAGGTGATCCATCTATGGGTGACACCGGAGTGGCCTCAAGTAATCCACCCACTCACTCAATCACTCAGCCACCCAGCCAGCCAGCCAACCACCAACCCCAGCCACACACCTAGCCGGCCACCCACCGTGCCACCCGCCTATTCAGCTATCCATTGACCCAGCCACCCACCTAGCCACCCGACCTCCCAAGTACCCCACCAAACCCCCCTCAATCAACCAGCCAGCCATGCCCTGGCTGCCACCTCTCCCACGCCGTGTCCCAAAATGTAAAAGCGATGAGTTGAAGGAAGGGGTCACTTACACAGCATTGAAGAGGTAGGCTCGTCCCTGGCTTCCTTGGAAAGACTGTAAACGAGAAGATGGGAAGAGGCAGCGTTAGAACCCAGGTCTTGGGTTCATGTAACTCTGTCGTCGGTGCATGCACAGACTACAGATGCGATATGACAAACACACACAGGCATCCACACGGTGTTTTACTATTATAATGCCGGTCAGAAGGATTCTCTTCATCCTGCTATACAAATTGTACACTTAGATGTTGTGTGCTGGTTGAGCAGATATTCTCAGGTCACTCGTAGAGTGGAGTATGTGGCACATAACTGCAAGAGCCACAGCCACAGCAAAAGGTATACTTGATGTGGGTGTGCCAGGTGCAGAAATATTTTTTTCGGGTCACTGGTAGACTGGGATTAGGCAGCATGAGACTAAAAACCATGTCCATAGGGGGAGCTAACACTGGATGTGTCTGACCTGGACAAACCCGGCTGAAACTAAGCCCTGTTAATGTCGATTAACAGACTTGAAGGCCACGCAATTCATGCAACGACGTGAATGCCATGGTGGCGAGATGTAAACTACCTCGCCTGGTATACAGGAGGTCGTGGGTTCGATCCCGACCCTGATGCCTGCTGTACATTTGGAGTTTGCGTGTTCTCCCCGTGGCCGTGTGAATTTTCCTCCGGGTCCTTTAGAATCAACATGCGTTTAAGCGTATTTGGCTGCTATAAATTTCCACGTGATAAGCCACTGCAATAAGCTATCATTTGTGGCCAGGTGGCTTCTTAAAAAAAGGGCTATATAGCTCAGTGGGCCTTACCTGGCAAACTAAAAACAGTAATAAAAATGTTTTTCCCTATTTGCCCGGAGAAGGCCCTCACCGAGTCGCGATATTTTTTCTTTGTTTGGTTTTGCAAGGAGGTCTTATTTTGGGGATGTTTGAGTAATAGCTTAATAACGAAATAAATAAACAGGAAAAGGGGGGGTCGCCTTCCCCGCCAAAACATTTTTGGTTCAGTTCGTCGGCCTCTGGGACCCGTCTGGGCCCATGTTTTCCAGAATTTGTTAAAAGCACGGAAAAATGTAAATAAATAAAAAAACGTGGGACCCAGTCCAGCTTTTGACCTCCCAAGTCTCATCATCAGGGTGTTACTTTGGAAGATTTTTGACCGCAATGCGGTCATTGTTTCGGGAAGTGGTGAGGGGTGGAGGGGGTTGGAGCTGTGACGCGTGCCGCACTCTGAACCCAGCGACCAGAGTTCGATTCCCGGCCATTGGCTAAATGTGAGTGGCGAGTGATATCTACCCGAACTCCTCTTGGGCCCTCACCAACTTGCGCTGACCAGCATGGGGAAGCATAGCCAACCGCCCTCCACGCCCCCCACCCCGCCTACCATGACCCTGAACGGTTCCGGAAAGAAGAGGCCTTCATCCACCAGTGAAATGTTCATTGGGCATGGCTCATGGTAATACAGTAATTCAATTTGTGCAGGAGGAAATTGGAATGCCCAGAGAATATTCCATGCATAGAAGGGAACAATACCCAACACGATAAAACACTTAACAGTCTAGGCAGGCGACGCACACGAAACACTGGTTGTTATGCAAACTCATCATGGGTTGTTTCAGTAATCAAATAAAGCAACACCAAACCATGCAATTAACATACATTTTAAAAGCAAGGACACGAGCTGTTGTTTACGTCCAGAGGTTAATTGAACCAGTTCTGTCGACCGAACCGTCCGTACGCCTATGCGCGTGTCTGTGCGCATGTTTATCTGTGTCGTGTGCGTGCCTGTATGTATATGTGGGTTTGCGTGCGTGTGCTCTGCATGTGTATTTGTGCTCGTGCGTATACATATATATGGAATAGGTGCTCGCCAACAGCGCATGCCCCCGACAGTCTGTTCAGGGTATACGGGCGGTGTTTTTTCTTTGAAAGGTACACGCTTGCTATACACACACCAGTGTGCATGTGTACCCAAGTGTATTTAAGGTGTAAGTATATGCACGCGAGCATACTTAAGTGTTCAAAGTGTGGGGCCACACCATAAGCGCATACAAGTTCCACTTTCCACTTGACCGTCCCACGTGGCCATTTGACAGGGCGCGAGCAGGCGAGGCACGGTTTACACTTACAAAGTCAATTACACGTGTTCATAATATTACATTGATGTCAGTATCTCAAAACGCAATAAAACTATTCAATGCTCTTTTTGGTATGTTGATTTTTGGACACCCTGGGTGTATATATGCGTGTACGTTCTATTAACGCAACGCTGTGGACCGCACGGCTCTTTATAGGGACCCTCACTTGGCCTGATGACGAGGAGATGGCCAGTGCATCGGGACTCCACGGGGAAACTCAGAGTCCCGTCGGAAGCCTCACACACACACACGGGGCTCAAGATCGGCCCAGGGCTATCCCCTGACATAGCCCACGCTTGCCCATTGCCCTCTTTCAATACAAAGACAAATCTCCTCCACGTAGCCTACACACATGACAGCAAGTGCAGATAGCAAGCATGGACAAAGACGAGACATCCTCCGTATAGCCTTTAACAGACTTTCCAGACAAGGGCTGTGTTAGCGAGAACCTATTAAGATGGGCACGGCACACGAGAGGGCAGGTGACCACCACCATCCCAGGCCGCCTTTGTCTCCCGAGTGGTCGATGCTTCCACACTGCACCAGGTACAAATTTGCGGGCGAGTCGACCGGTGACCGGTTCAGCAGGAATCAAACTCAGGTGGTTGGGTTCGTAGTGCAGCACGCTAACCGCTACACTGCTGCTCCCCACACCAAACAAAAGACAAAGACACGCATCTATTTTGCAAGCTCGACTGTATATGCCATTCAACAAAACACAACGAAAAAATTCACGTAAACACACACCGACACCCTCAATCCCAACCTCACATGCCGTTCATACTTTGTACGTCACCACACACGCACGAACTTACAGTAATCTGCTCTCTTACAAAGACAAAGATCCCTCGTATAGCCTTGACAGGCTGTTGGGGCAAGTGCTGTTAGCGAGCAAATATGGCACACGAGGGGGTGGGTGGAACAGCACCACGCCTGGCCGCCTTTGTCTTCCTCGTGGCGATGTTTACGCACCACACCGAGGTATTCATTCGAGGCCGAGTCGACCTAGGGGAGGAAGGCCCAGGACCGGTTCAGAAAATCGTCACGTGGTGTTGGCCGTGAGCGGGAATCGAACCCGGGTCGCCGGGTTCGTAACGAAGCGTAGCGCTAACCGCTACACCACCGCTTCCCACTGCACTCACAACACATGGCACTCACCAAACATGGCACTACCACCCCCCCTCCACAACCACTTCTCAACGACACACACGTACACATACAGACAAACTGGAGTCGGGTTGCTATTTATAGACCCCCCCCCCCCCCTTTATAATTACATTAGAATTATGTCAGGCTGCCGTTTACTTGTTTACGTATTAATTTGCGTGCGTGTTTACACAGCTTGTATACATCGCTGCTCATTTGCAAGGGAGTTGCCGTGAGTTTCATGGTAATTTCTTTATTTTTAACGGCGAGATTCAATTGGCCACTTCTTAAGTATCCACAACATCAGCAACAGTGGCACGTGGAGGCATCATGTGCCGAGCGAGTTGCGGGCCCGCACATGCCCCCGCATGTCCGAACGACCACACCCAACCACCGTCATAACACACTCCTACACAACACCCACCAACCAACCACACCCCCATCATACACCACCACCACCACTTCACTCCATCCACCCACTACATCCACCAACCACATCGCTCCCCACCCCCCCCAACGCCCGCATCAGCCCAGACCAATTTCCTACACCACCCCACACTAAGATCCTATAATACTCCACAATATCTCACACCCCACGACAATATCCTACACCACCGTGCACCATCTCACACCATCCCACACCCCAATTCACCATTTCAAAATCTCCTCCAACATCCCACACCATCGCACACCCCAAGTCACACCAATCTCGTCCACCATCCCACACCATTTCACACCCCACACCACCGCACACCGCATCGTACCACCTCGCATCACGCACCACCGCTAGACCACACCGCCCCAGCAATCGCGACCGCGTGTCAGTGCTATCCGGGTAACGGACTCGGTACAGAGCCTCCCCCTCCTCTTCCCCAGCTCATCTCGATTTTCAAAACATTGGCCAAAATAACCGCGGCGGTGGCGGCGCCGGCGTTAAAGCTAGAAAGAGCCCGCAGACTCACCGCCCACGCAGCCATTCGCTCGAAAAATATATTTACCGGCCTTCATAGTCCCCAGAGGAGGAGACGGTCACCGGATGGAAGTACACGGGAGAATGAAAGTGTGAGCAATCCGTAAAATTAACTTTTTTTTTTTCCCCGTGACACCGCGTCCGCAGCAGGGGTGCACACTGGCAAACAATAAGACTGCCCTAAAGCAAGAGGGGGGTAGAACAAAGTGGTGACATTTTGGATAAAGGCCCTTTTTTTTTGCTATGAAGGGCCATTGTCCGAAACGTCGCTTGTTTATTGAAGAACGAGTCGGTGCAAATAGGGTTAAGGAGCTTGTACGTTCTCGTCCCCCCCGTTCTGCATGCGCTTCATTCGGGTTCTGCCGTTTCCTCCCATAGACAACAATGCACTCGGTATTGGCCAAACGTCCCAATAATGCTGAAACATTACCAATAAATTACTCTATTTGGATGGCAACACCCACATCGCCCCCTACCGCAAAACAAAACTTGGCAGGAGCCTCCTGAAAAAAAAGGTATTGAGACTCAGCGAATCTTTCCTGGGTCAACAAGTGAAAACAAAAATACAAGTTGTGTGTGCCAGTTCAAGTCATTGTCTTTGTGTGCGAAGTGGTGGTGCAGTGTTGTGGGCACCGCACTGCAAACCCGCCCACGTCGGTTCGATTCCCAGCCGGGGCTAATGACACCATTTGTGATTGGCGAGTGGTATTTGAACTGGTTCTGGGCCTCCCCTAGGTAGACTAAGCCATATATAAGTACCCGTCGTGGAGTGTAAACATCGGCACTCGGGGAGTCAAAAGACGGA